ATTTATTATGCTGGGCTTGCCTTAACTTAATTTTAATCCATAATGAAATCCTTTAAAATTATTTCATAAATTGCCATTCTTTCAAATTAGGTTTGCTTATATATATATACTACATTAATTTAAAAAGACTCTATAATTTTATAATATCAATGGATTACATTAATTATCAAATTAACTTCTCAATTCTGTAAACACTGATGTAAAAATAGAGATGTACATTTATAATTACAGATTTGACGATCTGTTAACAGTTTGTCTTGCAACAAAATACATTTACAATAAGGTTTAAGGGCTCATAAAAAAATAATTATTATTTATAAATCTTCACATATAAATTGATAGAAATAAAATATCTTAGTTACTCATTCCTTTTCCTAAATGCTATGGAAGAGATATCTTATTATCACAATAATAGACGAAGAAGAACCTAGTATTTTTAAAAGTGTTACATTTCTGTCAAGATAACTGGTTTCATAAATTTCATTTATAAATTCATAGTATAGCATTTAGCAGTTTATACGGTTCAGTTATAGTATAAATTTATTTACTATGAGTAAATTTAAAATGTCGATGCAGAATGAAAATGCTGTTTGCAAATATAAATAAATAAACTCATCATTAAAAATTTGAAAGCATTCAATATAAATAAAAAATCATTTTTATATTTTTGATTAAAAAATATAAATAATGAACGAACGTTTGATGGTTTTTAAAGGAATAAATGTTGTGTTGAACATATTCACTTTTATTTTGAGAAAAGAATTCATTAATATCTAATTGAAGAATTTAAGAGATCTGCTTTATAAATAATAAAAAAAGGCGTTTCATTAGGTTTTACAAAAAATCGGCTGATTGTCAAGTGCATAAATAAATTTTTGGAAGATACTTGGCTTCAACTTGATATTAAATTATTCAATTAGATATTCTAAATGCTTTTAAAGGCTTATACTATAAAAATATACTAAAATCTTTCAAAAAGTTGCCAAAATAATTCTGTTAGATTAATGAGATATTATTATGGATAAGTTTAAGTTGGAATTTATATTATTCCTTTTTCAACTCTTACTTTTAGGTCTTATAAATAAAATTTATATAAAGTTTATAAAAGTAATTAATCCATTAACTAAAATCATTAACTTTTTCCAGTAATATTGCAGAAATGGGAATTTTAATTTTATCCTCATTTTCGAAAATTATTTAAATTCAACTAAATTACCATGTTTAATGTTTGAATGTTAAAAATAGAATAATATTTTCTTAAGAGTTGTCGTAAAATATCCTCACTGATGTCAAAACTAAAAAATACTTAGTGTTTTTGTTCGATAGAAATTCTTTTATTAATTGTAAAATAAGTTAATTAAGAAAATATTTGGATTAACAATGATTAATTTCAGATTTTATTTTTTAAATGTTGCCAAAGATATATTTTGTACATGCAAATAATGTATTGTCTTATTAATATTTGGACAATTAATAACCAGTAAAGATAATAAGATTTAAATAAGTAGATAAATACTCTAATGTGAAATGGTTTTGTAAAAGTATTAAAAATATCATTCGCCTTTGTAATTCTTATTTATAAAATAAAAAAGTTGATTGGGATTTAGATAGATTTTTAATTGATTTTTTTGGTAATAATTACAATCCATAACAATTAGATTGAATTAAAATATTCTATTAATTCCACACTATTGCTATGGTTTCATATTTTAGGTAATATTTAAATTTTGAGAATTTATCCTTTTCCTGAAACATGATAAATATTTAAGTTGACTATTAAAATGTATTCTGAAAGAATCTCTAAGAAAATTAATATTTTTTGGTAAATAATAATCAAAAGTTTAAGTTAAGAAACCTTGAAAAGAATGTTAAGAAAATAGATTAGAAGATA